TATCATTTTCTCTAACATGTAAACATCTATTGTTTGCAGATGATTTAAAGTTATTTTCCAAAATATCAATGTTGATGATTGTTTAGAGTTGCAGAATCAGCTGAATGTAGTACATCAATGGTGCAAATTAAACAAGCTAGTTTTAAACATAAAAAAATGCAAAACATGTACCTTTTCATTAAGGAAATATCCAACAGTTTTTCAATACTCCTTAAACAATAATGTTCTTTCTTCTTGTGATGGTATTAATGATCTCGGTGTCTACTTTGAAAATAAATTGTCATTCTCTACTCATATACAAAATTTAGTTTCCCAGGCATTTAAAGTATTGGGCTTCATAAGCAGGAACTCTCGAGGATTTAAAAATGAAACCGTTAAAATCTTTATACAGCGTGGTCCAGGTTATAGTAGCAATAATTCACCATTCGATAGTCCATCGAAAAATAAGTCGACATGCATGGTAATTTTTTTCTCCAAAACCCCTCCTAAGGGAGATACAGCCCTTCAAAGTTGAGTTTTAAAAATCTTTTTTTTGCCATAACTCTCAGGAAATAAAAGCGTTTTTGACCAAATTTGGTACAAGTACTTATGAAATAGGTACTCGTTACCTGACGTAAGTAACTTTTGTCAAAATTGTCCAGTGACGTAGATACAGGGGGGTTGTTTCACTTTTTCCACCCCATTTTTTACGCCACTGGATATTGGTTTAAATTGATCTATTTTTCTAATTCCTTGTTCAATTTTGAGAAAAAAAGCCACTCTTGTCAAATTTTGATTTAAGGCTTTGTTTACGAGATAATTGAGTTTAAAAAAAACATACAGTCCTGCAAAGTTCAGTTTTAAATATCTTTTATTTGTCATAACTCTAACTCTAAGATCGCTAAAGCGTTTTTCACCAACTTTGATACAAGTACTTATGAAGTAGATACTCGTTACTTGACCCAAGTAACTTTTGTCAAAATTGTCCATTGGCGTACATACAGGGGTTGTTTCACTTTTTCCGCTCAGGATTTCACTGAAAAATAACTCATTGCATTGTTTTATTTTCTTCAAAACTTTCTCAGAAAAGACATAAAGCCCTTCAAAATTCAATTTTAAGATTTATCTTTTTTTTATCTCATATCGTTTAAGAATATTTGATTAAATTTGGTATAGGTATTTAAAATAGGTAATCAACACTTGACGTATTTTTATTTAAAATTATGGCCTGATGCGCTTTATCCAATAAAATTAGGGCGGCCCCACTCTAGTATGAACTGTCAGTCTTAAACAACTGAAATAGCTGTCAGAGAGTTAATAAATGTTTTCTATTATTTTTTACAGTCTGTTAAAATATTTTAGAGTTAATACAAGTATCCTGTAATCATAAATATGCCTTTTCGATTCACGAACCAAGAATACGCCGATATTCACTTCATTTATGGATTTTGTGATGGGAACGCGTTGCAAGCAGTTCAAGAATATCAAAGGCGTGAAATCCTGGGCAGAAAAAGTGAAACAACCCCTGTATCTACGCCAATGGACAATTTTGACAAAAGTTACTTGGGTGAAGTAACGAATATCTATTTACTAAGTACATGTATTAAAGTTGGTAAAAAATGCTTTAGCGATCTTAGAGTTACAAAAAAAAGATATTTAAAACTGAACTTTGCAGTACTGTATTTTTTTTTTAAACTCAATTATCTCGTAAACAAAGCCTTAAATAAAAATTTGACAAGAGTGGCTTTTTTTCTAAAAATTTAACAAGGAATTAGAAAAATAGGTCAATTTAAACCAATATCCAGTGGCGTAAAAAATGGGGTGGAAAAAGTGAAACAACCCCAATGTATCTACGTCACTGGACAATTTTGACAAAAGTTACTTACGTCAGGTAATGAGTACCTATTTCAAAAGTACTTGTACCAAATTTGGTCAAAAACGCTTTTATTTCCTGAGAGTTATGGCAAAAAAAAGATTTTTAAAACTTAACTTTGAAGGGCTGTATCTCCCTTAGGAGGGGTTTTGGAGAAAAAAATTACCATGCATGTCGACTTATTTTTCGATGGACTATCGAATGGTGAATTATTGCTACTATAACCTGGACCACCCTGTATTTTTGCTTGATAAGATCTAAAATTGAATATTGCTCCATAATTTGGTCTCCGCACTTTAATAACTCAGTTATAATGATTGAGAATGTTCAACGTAAATTTTTAAAACTATTATCATTCAGGCTAGATAATATCTACCGAACCAGAGGTATTGAACATCAGTTACTGCTTGATCGATTTGATGTTGATTCACTTCAGTTTAGAAGAGTTTGTTCTGGTTTAAAATTCTTATACAAAATTTTTCAGAATGAAATTGACTGCTGTAATATTTTATTAATGTTTAATCTATACGTTCCTAGACTAAATTCTCGTAATAACTATATGTTCTACTGCGATAATGCTCGTACTGTAATATTAGCTAACTCACCAGTGCATGTTATATCTAATAACTATAACCAGATAAGTCATGTATGTGATATTTTTTTTTCTAATTTATCTTATATATTAGTCGTTGCTAAAGAAATGTTTTGATATAACCTTTACATTTATTATTTTGTCCTTTTATTGGAAGTGTATTGGGCAAATAAATTATTATTATTATTATTATAAAGCAACTTAAATCTATTTATATCTATACTTTTGAATTTTTTACCTGAAAACGATTCCCTCAGAGGGAACCCCTCTGAATAATTTTGATGACAAACGTTTTGGCTTCCTCGTACTCCTGGAATCTGATATCTCCAAACCTCTTATCATTCTTATTTCGGAGATTGGATTTAAATCAGGGTTTGCTACCAAAACATAGAAAAGAAACAAAACTGCTTTTCTTCCGGTATCGTTTTCTCTAACATTAAAAACGGAACGCAAGAGGTAACAAAAAGTTTGGAAACGTTGCTAGCTAGTACCAAAAAAACACCGAAATTAAAAATAACAAAAATCATGTGCAGCAGGTGGTAGAAGTGAAACTTTTTATAAACTAGGGAATGTGAGAAATTTTAGTTGTTTGTGTGTGTGTGTGTGTGTGTGTGTGAGAGAGAGAGAGAGAGAAAGAGAGAGAAAGAGACAGGAATAATTTCAAAAGAAATATAACAGTATAAAATTTGAGTAAAATGCTTTTAACCATACCAGAAACGCGATACAAGTCCCTGGTTATTAGTGAGTAGTGACCGTCCCAGCACGCTACCTAAGATTTGAATAACATAAACACAACACCCCAACAAGTTCTTCAACCCTTTCTCTGAGACATAAAATTTAAGGCGTGGGAGGGCCCTGTAAGGGAACTATTTTCCGGGCCCTAAAATCATTTCAGCACATGCCTGATCATGTACTGCTGGTTTATTACAATTATTTTAATAATAAAATTTCATAAATACCTTAAAACATAAGGCAAAATTTATCGAACACAGACACTGCTTAGCAGTGACTGCTATCTAATATAACTAGTAGTTATTAACTACTGATTAATTTCATCTGAAATAAATTTATATCCTTGGCATAAAAACAGAAGCGAATTTGCTTTCTGCACGCGCCTGAAGAGCGGCATGCTTTGAGCGCGCCACGCCTTTGTCTTTTGTCGGCTTTACACCGCGTTATTACAAATAAGCCGCTTTATTATAAAATAATAGAAACATTAGAATATTCGCTACTCTACCGTAGGTACTCATAATTGTTTATTGTTTATTTGATTTATTTTTGGTAGAAATAAACCACCTGGTAACAATTTTTATTTTTTTAAGTAATTTTGCTTTAGAATATCGTTTATTTCACGAAAATGTACATTATCCAATAAACGCGACTTAAAAATAACACGTTTGTTTGATTATAAAAAATCGTTTCTCGCTACCCAATTCACGCGGTTTTAACGGTTTCATTTTTAATAAAATTTGCAATTTTTTGTGTAAATGTTTAAAACCAAACGTCAGCAAGTTTTGTCGAAATACACCGGCGCGTGTAGTTTTCACCAAATTAGGTTAACCTTACTTTTTACAATTTTTAAATGTTATTTTAGTCGCCTTCTCCCAATTTAAAACCCGATTGGTTCAAACAGTGAATATTAAAATCGGCCAATCACTGATGCCTAACAACGTTGTTAGGGAGGGAATTTGATAACTTACCAATACTCTTTAAGCAATAATGTTCTTACTTTTTGTGAAAGTGTTAATGATCTTGGCGTATTATTTGATAATAAATTAACATTCTCGAGTCATATACAAAATTTAGTTTCCCAAGCATGTAAATTATTAGGTTTTATTAGCAGAAATTCGAGAGGATTTAAAACTGAAATCGCTTTAAAATCCTTATACTTCTGTTTAGTAAGATCTAAAATTGAATACTGCTCTATTATTTGGTCTCCGCACTATAACAACTCAGTTATATTACTTGAAAATGTTCAACGTAAGTTTTTAAAACTTCTAGCATTCAGGCTGGATAATGTGTACCCAAACAGGGGCATTGATCATCAATTATTACTTGAAAGATTTAATGTTGATTCGCTGCATTTTCGAAGAGTATGTTCTGGTTTAAAATTTTTGTACAAAGTTTTTCACAACGAGATTGACTATTCTAATATCTTATTTATGTTTAATCTACATGTTCCTAGACTTAATTCTCGTAATAGTAATATGTTTTATTGCAATAATGCTCGTGCGGCAATGTTAGCTTACTCACCAGTTCATGTTATAACTAACAATTATAATTTAATAAGCCATTCATGTGATTTGTTTTTTAATAGCTTAAATTATTTATTAGCTATTGCTAAAGATATATTTGAAACCTAAGGTTCTCTATTTGCATATAATTGTATATTTTTGTCCTATTATTGGAATGTTTTGTTCTGTTGGGCAAATAAATTATTATTATTATTATTATTATTATTATTAATGTTTATCATTATTCATGAAAAAAAAACAATATTATGCAATAGGAGTAGATAAAGTTACATTATTCAATTTATATACTTGTATTTTTTAGTTTGCAGTGATTCCCTGACTCATAGCAAAAAAGGAAGAACTGTTATGAACGAATTTGAACGATACGAAGCGCTTAAGCATTGTAGATATGTAGACGAAATTGTGAGAGACGCTCCATGGGAAGTAGATGAGGCATATGTTGCTAAACACAAAATAGATTTTATTGCCCACGACGATATCCCTTACGGCACCGATGAAAGTAATGATATATATGCTTATTGGAAAACTAAAGGTATGTTCGTAGCTACAGAACGCACGGAAGGAGTATCTACCTCTGATATAGTAGCCAGAATAGTTCGAGATTATGATATGTATGTAAGAAGAAACTTGGCTCGTGGCTATTCTGCTAAAGATTTAAATATTTCTTATCTTAATGAAAAAAAGATAAGATTACAAAATAAAATGCATGAATTAAAAGATAAAGGAAAACGGGTTATTGGTACCATTGGAGAAAGAAAAGATGATATGATTGCAAAATGGGAAGAAAAATCAAGAGAATTCATTGAAAACTTTTTACTTCTTTTTGGAAGGGAAAGATTAACAAACATTTGGAATGAAAGTAAAGGAAAAATTTTAAATGCTTTAAGTCCACCTAGTTCACCTTTTCCTCCTGCCAGTCCAAGCTCAAGTAATGATGAATTTGATTTTGGAGAGGATGAACTTCCCCCAAGGAAAAATGCAAGATATGAATCTAACAAATTTCATAACAATGATGATTACAGCGACGAAGATGATTATATTTCAGCTTCTTCAAATAGTATAAATCAAAATTAGGTATGATATACCTAAACCGTATGCTGTTAAATAAAATTTATTGTGTAATTTATAATACTTTACAATGTTATTACAGATTTATTGTATTTTTAAATGTGTTTTTTTAAATATTTTTCCAATTAACCTTGTTAGTTTGAGAAATATTTATAAATTTCATCAATCACCTTACCTTACACACATTTAACGTCCGCGTCCCTTTCTCACAACTTGCAAAAAAATAAGAAAAAATCAACATTTTTTTATACGAATTATATAGGTACTTGGTTTGGTAGTTCTGATTTTTTGCAAAGTTGTTTATGATGTTGGCCCAATGAATAATCCAAGTTTTCGACCTTGAGCCCGGACGCAACCTTGTCAAAAATTCAAAAAAATCGCAATTTTTTTTCCTTTCTTCATTTTTGGTAATTTTAATCCTGAAGGACTAGTTTTTTAATAATAACTATGTAGTATGTTTTTTAAGAATTTGCTACAATTTAAGACTACAACCATATTTATTGACCCAATTGATCCAATAGTTTCTGATATACAGCTTTTTCAAATTTAAAGATTTTTTTTATTTAGAAAATTATTGTTTTGCGCCTTTTACTTATTATGTGGGGATCCTATGAAAGAAAATGTATGGAGGATGTAATTACTTTCATTTTAAAAATTGTTTATAAATTAAAACAATAAAAAACAAGACATTTTTAGTTCATTTTGCTCTCTAAGAAGGGCCCGGTTAAGTATTGTCGGTTTCTCCACTGGAAACTTTTGCAACTGGATTTTTGATGTCCTCTGGGAAATCTGTTCACAATACATTCTCCTGCATTTGTATATCAGGCAGGTCGTCACTTTCTGGGATGTTGAGGTAGATCATCAAGTTCGATATCTGGCACATTGTCGCATAAGGCCCCGCTGCAGTAGCTGCATACTGAAGAGCACTTCAGCCCTGCCATCCTACAGCTGCATGCGTTCCCACAACCCTCCTTGCAGCCGTACGAAATCATGCGCAAGAGGTGTTCTCCATCTGCCATCATTTTGGAAACGAGGCCTTGTGAGGTTGGCCCCCAGGAGAAAAATGAGCCTGTGAGCATCTTCCTTTGCAGTACTTGAATGATAATTTTGTTTTTGGAAGGTTGATGAAACGAACTTTGTTTTTGTTGTTTGACAAGAAATTCTCTTGAGAAACCTTAGCCATGTTTTTTTCATTAAATATTATTTTCGAAGATAAGTGTCAGGGACATTCACAATACTAAAATTGTTTGAGCAATTTTATTATTGTACATATTCATGACGTTCATTCGATAGTCAAAATGTTCGATAGAAACAAACCTAATAATACAGTAGGTACTATCTAGTGGTGAAAATTAATCTTTTAATAAATGAATGAAATGTGTGGTGAAAAATACACAATATTAAAAATTTGTGTAGTTACTATCTAGTGGTAAAAACATAATGTTTTAATAAATGAATAAAATTGTGGTGAAAAATACACAATATTAAAAATTTGAAATTATAAAAGTATTGAAAAAAAAAATAAAAACTTAAATTGAAAAAATTATGGATAACGCTATGATATCTGTAATATTAAATTACTAAAACGATTGGCAGCCGTACCTCCATAATAATAATAATAATAATAATAAATTTATTGTCATCAAAAGTATTACATGACATGTCAAAAAATCACAAATATATAATAAACAGGTAAGTAAGAAACAATACAATAATACAATAAACAAGTAAGTAAAAAAAAACATTTTCAGGCCAATTACTTAATTAAAAAACAAACAAGAAATCATTTACATTGTATAGGCACATATTGACTAGCATATCCTTAACAGTCTTTTCAAATTTATCACAGTTGTATAGTTTTATTTGTTCAGGTAGACGATTGTACAGTTTTGGCCCCCAGTAGTCCACATATTTTTGGGTTCCATTAAGTCTATGATAGGGAGTTAGGAAATTATTTTTGTTTCTTGTATTGTAGCTATGATACTCTCCATTTGTTAAAAACACATTCTTATTTACATGCACATACTTTAAAATACATAAAACAAATAGACTGTGAATAGTAAGTATCTTTTCCTTAATGAAATGCGGTTTGCAGCTTTCAGTACTACTGAGAGAGCACAACGTTCTTATGGCTTTTTTTTGAGTTTAAAAATCCTATCGCAGTCCCTTGAGGTTCCCCAGAGTAAGATACCATAGATTATTTGCAAGCTTCCACAGCATAAATACCATTCCATAAAAATTGGTCAATATATTCATATAAAAATGGAGAACCAATTACTCCCAACCGCCGTAAATATTGTTTAAGCTTGATCCAATAGCCTTCCACGTGATTGGTACATACACCAGTCACTGGATCTCGAAAATATCGAGAATGATTAACAGTGCGGTGTAATACATACATATATATATATATATATATATATATATATATATATATATCCATGATGTGGAAGACTATTGTAGCCTCTCCACATGTCGGTCCAGATCTTACTTCCGGCTCTCACGTGGTTCTGGATAATAGGGATTAGCACTTGGGCACTACGGTTGGGAACATGCTGTATATTCGTGGTATCATAAATCCCTAAAATCTATTTTTCGGGGACCACGCGCCCTCTGTGGTATTTCCGCGCGCGCAAAAATGGGCTTAGCCACTGACCAAGTCCGCACTGGCTACGTGTCACTTTAATCAATTTAAGTAAATGCCGAGCGAAGCGAGGCGGGCTTGGTCAGTGGCTGAGCCCATTTTTGCGCGCGCAAAAATGGGCTTAGCCACTGACCAAGCCCGCCCAGACTACACGTCAACTTAATCAATTTAAGTAAATGCCGAGCGAAGCGAGGCGGGCTTGGTCAGTGCTTGGTCAGTGCGCGCGCAAAAATGGGCTTAGCCACTGACCAAGCCCGCCCAGACTACATGTCAACTTAATCAATTTAAGTAAATGCCGAGCGAAGCGAGCCCATTTTAACGCGCGCAAAAATGGGCTCAGCCACTGACCAAGCCCGCCCAGGCATCATGTCAACTTAATCAATTTAAGTAAATGCGGAGCGAACCGAGGCGAGGTTGTTCAGTGCCAATTTAAATAAATTAATCAAAACTATATTCCTTATACTTAACTCTATTTCAAAACAATTAGGTATAACTGTTGATTATATAATATATTATGTACCCAATAAAAATGGTTAATTTCCAAGATAAAATGTCTCTAATGTATTTAAAAATTTGAATGGATAGCCCGCGATGATTACCCGTGATCTGGGCGACGGAGCCAGTTCTGACTTCACATGCCCAGTACCACATAATGTGGATTACATCGCGGACATTTGATGAAAGAAACTTCCCGATAGCACGCTATACTCCTTTTTACAGGCGCGGCAGTAAAAAGCGTGGTTAAGAGCAAACTGTCCATCCCTGGCTCTTAATTCACACATTCTTCGGCAGTTTCTTACCTTGCAACGAAACTGGGCTTTTAAAATTCCAGGTTGTTGTAGGGCAGTAATAAGTTCTTCGAATTTAATAGTTTAATTAAGTAGTTACATTTATTGGTATTTGATTATTATTTAATAAAATATTATAATTAATATCAATTTAAAGTAAGTTTAATTTTCAATCTTGGTTGCCTACCTACAATTTACAAAGATATATCATTATTTTTGTAAATACCAAAAAATATTGTGCATACTTACTTAATTTCAATATTTAATTAAGTTTTTACATACAATTCTATTTGTTTTGGTGCAATAAACATTTAATTTTAAATTATAAAATAATAATTTAAGCATTTCTAAAGTTGGCAACATTGCAAAGAATAGCTTTGTCATTCAAAATTATGACAGTTTAAAATTCAGTGTAGTACATAGAAAAGGTGACAGTTTTAGGCAAATTTTGTTGTATTTAACACTATAAACATATATTTTAGTAAAAGTTTAGTTTTTCCGCACCTAAATATACTTAAAATAGTGTATTATACTCATTTATAATATAAATTTACAATACAAATTGAAATTTAAGGGTAATGAATACGGAACCGCCGCACATAGGAGTATTGTCATAAAAAATCCGGACAAAATTATTTAAAGGTTACTGTTAAATAAAAACGATAAATTTTATTACATTATGGCGTTTAACAATAAAAAATTCAATAAAAACTCTAAAAATACAATTTGGAGAAATACAATATTTAATATATTGCAGTGTTTAACAATAAAAAAATCAGCAACAAAAACACAATTTGGAAAAAACATAATTTGAAAAAGTTACTCATCTTGATCATCATGTTCGTTTTCATCATCCTCTATGCAAACATCGTCGTAGGTTAATAAAGATAATTGTGGTGGTATGATTGCAATCATAAGATTAAGTGCCTCTTTGGAAAATGCATTTTTCTTTGACTGCGGCTTACGTCTGATGGAACTTAAATACGGATCAGAAGTCAACAACAATCTGTTAACAATGTCCCTATTACAATCCTCTCGTGAAAATTTTCTCGAGTAATTTAGCCTATAATCTCTAAAGTTTTTATTCCGGGCCTCAGCAGCTTCCTCGGATAAGTGTCCAAGAGGCAAAATTGCATGGCTTATTATTTTGGCTCCATGAATTAAAACTTTATGAATTGTAGGTGACATAGGGTGCCAACTATATAATTCAACATACAATTTTGCCGTGTCATGTGCGTATGTAGCAAACTTATTTGGGTCTGCAAAAAATCTCCGTGATGTATTTCCATCATTTGTGTTCCCAAATCCTGCTTTGGGAATGTCCACTAATGACCCCATTTCTTCTCTGAATTTCGTTTGTATTTTTTCTTTTGTTTCTTTTACAATTTTTTTTTCATCTAGAGTTCGCGCCTGCCATTTTTTTAATTGAAATTTATAAGCCAAATGCAATAAAGACTCAAAGAAGCGAATTCTCGCATGAAGAACAGATAATCCAAATTTCAACGCTTTGACATTTACGTCTTGTACCTCATTAAGTTTATTAAAAACTTTTGACTTCTGCCCACAAATATAACAGCGCATAGTGGAAGCCGTGTCTGTGGCAGCATTACAAACCTTGCCATCAATCATTGTAAATAACATGGTATGTTTTATTTTAACGATTCC